GGGGGCCGATTATATCGTGCATCCCTACAACTTTGTGTAAAGAGTTCATTGTAAGATGGAATAAATGAACATTCCCTTAAGATGCATCTCTATATTTTCATCTTTTCCAGTTAGTCCAGATGCTACAATCATATATATATAAAGCCAGATGTTCTGGATTTTTTGGGGAAGAAAATTTTGCAGTTACACTTATAGTTCAACTGTGCAATTGTGAGTTTTCTCTCTTTGTTTCTTCTCTGTTGTGTACCGACATAGGCCATTTCTCAAGGTCTTGCTGAAGCATAGATCCCTCAAGATCTTCCCAAACTGTCAGAGATTATCTTTAGTGTCAGCTTTTAGCAGTTCCTCCTTGTTTTTCTTCCCATTAGCACCGAGGCGTCACACTGTGAGAATCTCTAAGGGTTTAACTTTCGTTGCTTCTGAAGTGAAGAAGAAAGCTTAGCTGAGGTCCTCCTCTCAGAGCTTCTGTTGTCGCCGTTCATCTGATTGTATCGTAGGTTTGTTTTCAGGGCCTTTAAGACGAACAGGAAAGGCTTCAAACTCGCGGCACCCATGAGGGATCACCCAGATTTCCTCTCCTTCCCAGACAGCACACAGTTAGAAGTTTGTACTTATTCTTAACGCCTCTCTCTTGTGGGTTTTATTGTCTCCATCACTGAAGCATCCAATGCTTTCCCAGCTTAAAGGTCTCTTCGTTTCGCGCTGGTTGCTAGGTGACTTTGTTTTTTTTTTTTGGGGTTGTTTTTTTCCGAGGCCAGACAGTGAAAGGGCGAAGCTGCAGAGAGACTTCCCAGGTTTCTTCACTAATGAAAACTTAGCCAAGCAGAAGAGACAATAGACTGACTTCAGACGAACCAGAGGAGACTCACATTATGCTGCCCTCATAATGCCAAGGCCCATATTGGTGTTTGAGGAGACAAGTCTGCTTTTGTTGCCAATGAGTTACGGGTTACAAGAAGATCAACCGAGTGCTGAGTAGCCCCCCCTGCTGTTTGTTGGCATTTGCACAGTAGTTAACTGCATTTTGCCTCCTTTTGTGTTTTCATTTTGCAATGTTAGGATTTCAGGTTTTATCTTTAACCTCTCAGGGGAGAAAAATACTGAAACAAACTTCTTAAACTTTGATTTCCCTTCATGCTCTATTAAGTGTGGTGCTTCATTCTTTACTTCAAGAGGAGAATAATTTTTAGTTTAAATGAATTCAGTTTAGTGCATTTTACAAATAAACCACAAATGTGTCAAATAACTTCACAAGGGCAAAGATTTAGCATATTTTTTTAGTACATGGAAACAAATACAAACGATGTTCAAAAAAATCCAACTCCTCCTTGAAGGGCCTAACCAAATAATCAAATTTTTATTTCTTTACACAATCTATATTCTAGCCAATATAATACTTCACATTTAAAATAAATGATCGGTCTGGGGAAGCCTAGTTAATTGGATCCAACACTGACATAAAAATCGTCCTTTCTTTTAAGCAAGGATGTAGCAACAGCAAAAAAAGAACAATTTCTCCTTTAAACGGGAGAGAAACAGTTTAGCAGAACAAGGTGGGCAATTTAATTCAATTCAGTTTATTTATATAGCGCCAATTTACCACACTTCATCTCAAGGCTTTTTAAAGAGACAATTCAACCAGACCATACAGGCAGATGGATTCAATTCCTCACACAAAGCATGCTTGTAGCGACAGTGGAGAGGAAACACTCCCTTTTAACAGGAAGAAACCTCCAGCAGAACCAGGCTCAGCATGAGCAGCCATCTGCTGAGCAATGAACCTCGTTGTCCTCCATCAATGGCAAGATGTACCAGGAGTACCTTCTATAGGAAAGACAAATGGAGCTACTTCCAATATTAATTTAGTGTCTGTCAGTGGGTGTTCAAATGTTGGTAGCAGGAGCTCTTTCAGCGAGTCTTTCTGGGTGGAGACACAAATCGAGAGCGAAATTCTGGGTCAGGTGTTCGTTTTAGAGAAGTTACAATATATAGGGGGGAAAAAAAACATATTAAGCTTTTCTGAAATTGGTAGGATTTATTTAATCTAGATTTAATATTTTTGGAGTGTTGGACTAACAACACTCCACTGTAAAATCCTAGGAAAAGTCATTGGTATAATAACTAGGAAAAAAAACAGCTGAACAACGACAAACAATATCCACATTTTGAAAAAGTGCAGCCAGAGTCCTGACTAGAGAGGACTTCCAAAGACCTGGGAATGATCAGTTAGAGGAACTGTCTTGAAATTGCAGAAGAGACATCAATCAGTATCTGGTGATTTTAAGCTAGCAGAAGCTTAAGGTGAAAAAGAATAACTTCTTTTCTGGAGTTTGAAGGAACTGTCGACAGTTGACAGCAGTAAAACGAGCTCACGTGTGACCAGTGAATGACTCTGTGCCCCCTACAGGTCAGGAGGGGTCACAGAAAGACACTTTCCCCTCCTCCGACTCTCTGCATGGACCTTAATCTGAGCCAGACATGTCTATACATTCTCCAGAAGTTTCCATTTTTACCTAGCTTGTCCTATCTGACCCTTAACCAACTTTTAATATTTCACCAGGGCCATGATAATGACTAACCTGCTCTACCTCTGGCCCAGCAAGCACACTCCTTTATGGCCTCATTTGTGAATATTCACAGGAGATTAGCAGGAAGTTGAGCCATTGCAGGTTCATTAAACTGAGATTACAATCACCGGCCCTGTGGACGTGCATTAAGCTGCTACGTCACCCGATTCCCTTCCTGTTGAGCAGCATCTGCACGCCTCTGTTGCCAAGGCAGGTGCAGCAGGTTTACCGTGCACCGGTGCCAGGCTGGAATAATCCGTTCCGTTGCCGTAGCTTAGGCGTGGCCATATGTGGTGTCATTGTTACCTTAGTGATGTTCCTAGGTTGGTTTATTTCAACAAAACCCATGTCTCTGTATCTTTTCCCCTTCCTTGTTCCCGACCCATCCCTCTGTCTCCCATGTCCCCCCCCTCCCTCCATGGCGCTGACAAGCAGCCCGAAGCTATGGCCGCAGACGAGGTAACGTGTGGCTTTTTCTCTGGGGTTCTGCTTCCCGCGCCGGCCATGTTTTTTTTTTGTTTTTTTTTTGCAAAAAGGCTGATTGTGGAGGGTCTTTTTGTGCTGTCACTCCGTGCCTTTCATCTGTGCTTTGGTTGAATGAAATCATGTTAATTTAAGCACTTTGTTTTGCAGCTTTAATCGAAAAGGGAGCAAAGGTTCATCAGATCTGCTTGAATTAATCTTGTGTTTTGTGATGCTTTAAGTCAGCATTAAAAATTTAAAGAATGGGGGCAAACAATCAAACCATCCTCCTAACCTTGTCATTTCTTTGATTGCTGATGGCTGACTCAAACATAAGAAAATCTAATCCGTGTGGGACAATGTGGTATGGTTTTTGTCAATCTACAGCTTCGGATCTTTAAGTCTAAACATATATTTGCACTGAGAATTACTAAAAGGAGAAACAACTTGAAAGTGAGACACGGGGGCGGCACTATCATGCTGTGATGTTAGTATTCTTTAAATATAACCTGTACCTTTAAGGACCCCAAATCTTCTGCTCACTGCAAGAAAAAGAAATTTAGATTAAACCCAAATATACAATCATATCAATAACAGAATAACTTCACGGAATAAAATGTTAGATTTAGCTTTAGAATCAGTTGCCTGATTCTAAAGCTAAATCTGATAAAAAAAAATCTGAGCAGCTGAAGGAAAATCAAATTATAAAATTTATTGAGTTGATGGACACACCCTCTAGCTAACAGGAGATTATTTCACATATTTTTTTTAAATCAAATTAAAAATTTGTTATTGGATATTTTTCCAACACAAATCATTGGTGCTTTATAAATGTAAGCAATAAAATATTTTAATAAATTCCTAAATAACACTAAAAACCTGAAAAAATAATAGTTGTTTTTTTTTCTCAGCTGGCTTTATTCCCTCCATCTTTGTAATTTCCTTCAAATCTGTAACAGGCTTTAAAATCAAGCTCTAAAAGCCTGATGATTAGAAATAAAATACAAACATAAAACCCCATCATGTATATAGCATAGAGTCCCTGAATGTAAACGTATTTCTTTGTTATTTTAGCCCATTTTTATTTATTCAGAGCTTCTTTTTCCACATTTTTGCCTACTGTTTAGTTTTAACATGTTTTGTTTAGTGGATAAAAAGAAATAAAGTCCCAGTTCATGAGCTTTTGGCATCAATCTGTTCAGCAGCTGTTGGTGTTCCAGGATATCTTTCTTTCTTAGAGTTCAGGGTGTTAAAAGGTGGATGATTGATGGTAATGTGTAGCATCCAAACTGCTGGCTCTGTCATAACGCCTTCCATATATAGAAACTCATGTCTCCTCACACCTCCCCTCCCTTCCTACTTCATGCTCTCTTACCTCTTCCTCTCCCCCCCTCCCATCTATCTTTTCTGCTGTTCCGTTTCACCCCATCCAGGTCGGTCCTGTCTCTTTCCCTTTGAAGATGGCTTCCTCAATGACAGCCACGGTGACCCCACCCTGACTCCTGGCCTGAACTCGCCGACCCGCTGTCAGAACGGGGAGAGGATGGAGCGCTACTCTAGGAAAGTGTTCGTCGGAGGCCTTCCTCCCGACATAGATGAAGGTAAGGAAACTCCAGCTGCTCTCTTCCAGGGTCAGAGTCCTGCAGGTTTTTAGTTTTCTCTTTGTATTAAAGGAATAGTACACCCAAAACATGATTAGCCTTCATTTTCTACTCACCCCCATGCTGAACAACACTCTGGAGTACTTTTTTGATATCTCAAATGCATCTGGAGATCTGGGAGGCTTCTTGCTGTCTGCTGACATTCAAATAATGGAGGTCTATGGTGCCCGAGACAGAAAGGTCCATAAAAGTCCACAAAAAACGTGTCAATATTCCTCCATACTGCTCGTCCAATGTATTCCAAGTGTCCTGAGTGGGTAGCATCCAGAATTTACTCGAAACAAAGTCATTTAGAATGTTTTTAGAGCATAAACAGTAGTGTATAGGATTTCCTGAAAGCGCGCACATGCGCGCTCACGATGCTACGGAAGCCGGCAGACCAAACCAGATGAAAGTGCGCATTCAGCGTCTGCTCTGCCGATAATGCAAGCGTAGAAGAAGAAATGTGCTGTTTACCTGTGCAAAGAAAGAAACAACGAAAGAAAAATGTCTGAGGTCTTCAGTGTTGAGGAAGAGCATGAGTTCTTTGCCGAGCTGAATGCGCTGGTTTGGTCTGCCGGCTTCCGTAGACTCGTGAACGCGCTTTTAGGAAATCCTATACACTACTGTTTATGCTCTAAAAACATTCTAAATGACTTCGTTTCGAGTAAATTATGGACACTACCCACTCAGGACACTTGGAATACATTGGACGAGCAGTATGGAGGAATATTGACACGTTTTTTGTGGACTTTTATGGACCTTTCTGCCTCGGGCGCCATAGACCTCCATTATTTGAATGTCAGCAGACAGCAAGAAGCCTCCCAGATCTCCAGATGCATTTGAGATATCAAAAAAGTACTCCAGAGTGTTGTTCAGCATGGGGGTGAGTAGAAAATGAAGGCTAATCATGTTTTGGGTGTACTATTCCTTTAAAGCAGGAACACATCTAAACGTGCGGTTCCCCCTGGTCTAAACAGATTAAACCCTCCACCCCCCATGCAGTAAAAACATATTGGGCCCAATTTTCACAGTTGGAATCCTCCCAGAACACACCATAGTTGTTGTCTTCTGCCACTTACAGTCACACTGACATATTTCAACACAGGGCACATTGACACTACATCTAAAAACCCTGATTGTGGAACAGGATGTGTTAGTGCTACTGGATTGGCTTCAAAATACATAAAGCTTTTATATTTTTTTTTCCCAAAGCCCAACTTCTAAACACTTGAAGTGGAGTAAAGAAGTATTTAGTATTTTCATCAAATGTTTGCTTCATTTATGAGAGAAAAAATGAGCTTTTAAAGAATTTATTTATAAATTATGGAGGAAAATAAATATTTGGTTAATAGCAAACAAGCAGGAAGTCCGGTCCTCACAGCCCTGTAATAAGCTCTTCTGTCCTCCACTTGTTACCTGTAATAATGGGCCCTGTTTGAACTCGTTCTCTCTATGATAGACACCCATTTACAGCCTTAAATAGTCAGACTCCAAACAACCATGGCCAAGGATGACAGGAAGAAAGCTATGGTCCTAAACCAGGCTCGGAGAGGGAATCTACAACACGAGACAGCTTGGGGTGAAGAAATCAGCTGTGGGAGGACATGGAAGACCTATTATGAGTACAGTAAGGAAAAAATCTGAGAACAATATGGAGCATCCTGCTGAATAACCTGCATGAGAGCAAAGAACAAAGGCTACCATCAGTAACTCACTACAACCAGAGGGACTCTCACTTAGAACATGTCAGGGTCTGTCTAAGTTGGCCAGAGGGAACATGGATGATCCAGAGGAGGATTTTCTGGATTAGGTCAGACGAAACTAAAATAAAATGTTCTCGCACAAATTCAACTTGTCGGTTTTGGAGAGAGAAGGAAGCTGAGCTGCATTCAAGGAACACCAAACCTACTGTGAAGCATGGCGGTGGAAGCATCATGCTTTGGGTCTGTTTTTCTTTTGGACGATTGATCGTGTTAATGGAAGAATGAACGGGGGACATTTATGGTGAGATTTTAAGCCCAAACCTCTTTCCATCAGTGAGAGAGTTGAAGAGGATTTAATTATCCAAACACGCCGCTGGACAATGAAGGAGTGGCTCCATTAAAAGTATTTGAATGTCCTGGAGACGCCCAGCCGGTCTAGAGGGAGTTGAAAGTCTGTGTTGTCCAACGACAGCCCCCCGAAATAAAAACACAGCTCTAGAGAAGATCTGATGGAGGAGACTGACGAGAAACATCTGACCTTTGCCACTGATAACAATGGTTATTGAGCTGAAATTTAGTTATTGACCAAATACTTATTTCCCATCATCATCATTTTATCTCTCATAGTTGCAGTCTACTACGATGGCAGTTACAGAACTTTCATCTTTTCTAAGCAGAAGAACTTTTTAGAGTTGGTGGCAGACTAAATACCTTTTAGTACTCAACTCAACTCAACTCAAACTTTATTTATAAAGCACATTTAAAACAACCGGGGTTGACCAAAGTGCTATATCACATCACAGTTAAGGAACATAAGATGAAAGCTAAGGCTAAAATACATAAACACATAAAAATAGAATAAGATAAATGTTTCAATTAAAATACATTTTAGAATAAAATAAATTTAAAATAAAAATTTGCCAAATGTCCACTTAGACCACTGTTTTTTTGCTCCAGTTCTGCATAAAACCAGATTAGTTTTTTTGTTTCTTTTGAATTTTTGAAATTTGTAGCTTGTTTATTAGGTAAGGATGATATTCTAGTTGTACTTTGGTAAAGTTTTCAAATACTACTTTGATGAAAGACATTTAAAAAATTAGCATCTCCTTTCATCCAGTGGAGTTTCTGTAGTTAAAGGCTGTTTGCGTTAATGTTTATGCATAAACAGAGGTCTGATTTCTTCTTTTTAATGCAGTGGCTACTAACTGCATACCTGGGGGGGGATGTTGTATGGGCAAATGGGTTCATGTTGAATTCTGTCACATTTTGCGTTTTTTTTTTCTCTTTAATCCTTGCAGATGAAATCACCAACAGTTTCCGTCGCTACGGGCACCTGGTGGTGGATTGGCCTCATAAAGCTGAAAGCAAATCCTACTTCCCACCTAAAGGTAACAGCAGGTCACCTGGGCGCAGTCTGTCCATGCACGTCATAGATGCGTGTATCAATAAATATCACTGGGGGGGGTCGTTTGAAAAGACTCATATTTCTCAGTTGCACTTGGCTCCAGCTGGGCTACCTTGCAGGTATCTGTTTCTTAGAGGAAACCCCTCCCCCCCTTCCCCTGTTGTCATCCAACAGATGGATATATGCAGAAATTAACTATCTAGCAGGTGTCTGGATTCTGGAACTGTTTTCTTGAATGAATGTTCGAGCAGTCAGGAAGGTTTTCCCTCTTTCTGTTAAGTTTCTTTCCGTTTTCTGCTCCATCTTCTGTTAAAACTTTGCATCGATCCCATTTTTCTTGGAAGCTGAAGTTTTGTCTTATAAAGCTATTAAATGCTTTTTGGAAATGTCTGTCATTCCATAGGCAGATGGTCATATGCTGCATCTGGAGGACTGATGAGAAAAAAACAGCCAGTTTTTCCTCATCCAATTTTTCCTCTCCGAACTATTTTTACGACTTTTTTTGTTCTCAGAGGGATTATTTTAAACTGGCATGGCTCTGCTAATATATATCCCTAAATGGGGGGAGATTCTTGTAGGGGAATGAATTAGCTTATAGCAGCTGGAGGATACTGCTATGTAGGATGGGGGTGCAAAGGGGATCAGTGATCTGTGTGGAGTTCAAATCCCACTCTCCTTTTTTTTTTTTAGCTATCTGTGTCCCACCGCTGTTTGGACCATGAAACACATCACTGTTCATGTTTTTGACCACTTTACACATTTAATCTGACTTTGCTGTTTTAGGACAGCCAAGGTTTTTCCAGATTATTAGAAATAGAGAACCGGAAAATGTAAAATGCTGCTAACTGTTTTTAGTTTTGGGCTCAGGAAAAAAAAAACAACCTAAAACAGTGGCGGCTGGTGAAGTTATAAATTCAAAACAGACGTATACCAAAAACCAATCAATCATATACTAAGTTATCACACCAGTATACTTATATAAATGCCAACAACAAAAAACATTATTAAAAAACTTTATAAAAACGAAACATGATTTCATGTACGGGTTTACTTTTTGTACATAAATCTTGCCCTTCTTAGGCCTTGTGAAGCCAAATCTGTGTTTTCCATGGTCCAATAAAATGTCATAAACCTAAAAAAAAAATATGTACCAGTTTAATAATGGAGAAGCAATTAGTCAGCTTTATATTTTTTTAATATATGAAAGCTATTTATTTTCTGAGAATATGTTTATTTAAGAGCAACTATGCAAATTAAAAAACACCTAGAAAAATTACACTATATTATACTATTTTCTATGTGAATCCCAGATTGTTCATTCTTTTTTGCCTTTTCTATGCTGGTGAAGATTCTCAGTCTACCGCAATTTCCTTAAACGACCCCCCTTTCAGAGACATAGACAGGTTTCGGGTATTACAGGCTAACAAAACGACCCCCATTCCAAAGGGGCGTACCCGCTTGTCAGGTTCTATTTGCATGTTTTCTAGGCAAAAACAAGGCTTTGCTTTGGTGCAATCTATAAAGCCTTGAACTATACGCTCTTTCTGACATTTTGAATTGGAAAAGCTTCTTGGATTGTTTTTTTTTCTTTTTTTTCACTTTTTTGGAATTATAAAACGTGCTTTGAATCAGTCCTACCTGTCTTTATTCCATGCTGGGTAAAATCCTGATGTTTGAAACAGGGAAAATAGAAAGGCAGGGAAGGCAAAAATAGCCTCGCTGCATCCAGTTAGCCAAGCTTTATAGCCAAACCAGCTCCTGTAAAAGACAGAGTGTATCGTCTCCATCTGTCTTTGGTCTGCTGATTAATTTTGATGTTTGGCTGATCAGGTCCAAAAAGTTTCACCTCCAGCTTCTCTTGATAAATTAGTTTTAAGGGATTTCACTCCCACGACTCGGCCTGTCCATCACCTGCATTACAACTGTGACGACAGTTCCTGCCTCCCGAGTTCCAGCTTTCTTATACTTCTGTATTACATAGGAGCTACTGCGCATTTACAACTTTTAACGAGTTAATTGGCAAAGAAATACGACATCAATCTGACCAAAAAAAAAAAGACTTTACTTGTCATTAAAGGTTAAATATTTATCTTGCACATCTACAAAATATATATAAATATAATTAAAAATTTTATCATTTAATATTCATAAAATTAGTTAAGGTCATGGGGTGGGTGGTGCGGCGCCCTAGCGCCCTCTATTGGCCAACTGCCATTGCCTTAAAAAAAACATTCAAATTTGGTCTAATGGATATTTCACTAAGATCAGAGATGGGACTTTGAGTTGTTTTGGGTCAGCGATTGTTTTCACCTGTCTCCTTGATGCCGTTTCTCCGCAGTCTTTCTTTTTTTAATCGTTGAATCATGAATGCTGATCCTAAAAGAGGCAGTTGAGACCTGCAGTCCTTTCCTGGCTTTTTTTTTTTTTGATCTCTTGCATGACTTACTGATTGCCTCTTGTTCTAATTTTGGTCGGCCCACAGTTTCTAAATAGGTTTTACCCATCTCCCATGTTTTCTTACATACTTAAATACTGAATAAGTTTTAACAGCATTATATGTGATCTACAAATTGTGGGATATGTTTCTTGAGCATCCATCCAGGCTTGACCGAATGGAAGATAACTGTCACTTTCCACCCTGCTCTGTGTTAAACTGCCAGCAGCATATGTCTGTGCAGTTATGAAAGTGTTTTTTGTTCAGGGATGACTCATGCTGTGGCTCAGTCTGGCTTCGGGGGCCGGGGTTTGGACTGTTCTGGTGTTTGGGATGAAGGTCAGGGAGAAATAAAAAGTTGAAGCCAAGTCAGGATTGTTTCCCCTTTCTCCCTCTGTGGAGTCCTCACATCTTTTGCTAATATTGTGACACGTTGTAAAAAATGGACCAAGGGAATTGCTTCTTTTTTATGTGTTCCTCTGGGTCAACTTTATTTAGAGCTCTTCGCCCCAAAAAAATGTTCTTTGATAATTGAACGGAGCTGTCAAAAGAAGATGGAAGGTCACCAAAGATTTCTGATCGTCTCTGAGGTTTTAAGAAATTTACTGTAAGCCTGTACTAATGCCTGAGCCTCCAATGCTCAGACATCCATCACATCTGTTTACAGACAAAACAAGCTGCCTTTGGCATAAAAGAAGCAATGTCAGGGCCGCTGTTTGCTGGAGGCAACTGCTAAGTTAGCTGCTGGGGGAATATGGAGCGACAGGTCCCTGTTAAAATTATGGTAGTAGTAGAAGAGCAAGTGGTTAAACAGAAAGTAAACATCAGATTATGGTTGTGTTGGTGAAAACGGCTGCAATGGGTTAGATTCATATTGCATCATATACGGTAAATTTCACATTAGTTCAGTTCATTTAAATCTACAGAAGAGGATTAGGGCCACTGGAAAAAAAAAAAGAAAAAAAAAGTTAACTGATTTTTTAATTTAACTTAATTTTAAAATCTCATTTCTCAGAATTCTGACTTTTTCCTCAGAATTCTGACTTTAATCTCAGAATTCT